GAGCTCCAGGTCAAAACAAAAAAAGAAGCCATGAGCTTGAAGTATTACTCTTTATACCCAAAAAAAAAAATCATGATATACTTAGAAGTAAGTAAAAGCGAAAACTATATCATAACAACCTTAGTTAACTAAAATAGAACAAATGTACCTTATCTTTATGCCTTATTATCATTTAGAGGTGATCAACTTGTACATTTCTTTAGCATATACAAGATAGACGCAGTGTCATTCACCACAATATATTTATGACCAAACTTAATTTCAACTTCCACCTCATTTCCAAGCTCCAAATTAGACACTATGCTCCGCCATTCTTCATCAGAGAAGGTTGTTGCAACTTCTTGCTTGTAGAACCTTTGTGAAATTCTTCATCATAATGCCAACAATTATATAGATGCCATGCTATCTTGAAGAGATGAATAGATAATGTTGAGGACCATTCCTTTTAAGCTATGACCAAAAACTTGAGAAACTTTAAATGACTTGAGGAACTTTAAATGACAAAAATCCCTCATGTTCAAAAACTAGCCAATCAGGATTATTTTCTTTAGGTAGATAATAGTGAAGCCCTTCATTCCTCTATCCCTATTCCAAGAACAAAAGGAAAAAGTCACCCCATTCAATTGAGAAAATGTAAAAAATAATAGTCACTAGTTGATACTCTAAACAAATGGAAAATTTCAATGTTTCATATTTGGCCAACAAGTTTGTTATTGGATTGAATGGTAAATAGTGTTTCTCATACTGTGTACGTTTACACAAAAAAAACCAAATATTGCAAAAAGTACGATCTGGCACATAACATAGATGTGACATTGATAAAAGCACATTTTATCCTATTGTACCTTCAACAATATTTACTCTAATTATTTAAACATGTAAAATAGAAAGGTGTTTTGCCGATTTTGAAAATATTATGCATATGTGGTAGTAGAGAATGAAGATAAAGAGAAAGACCTTTGAAATACTCTTTGGAAAGGCATCCATAATTTTCTTGCACCATCCTACTTGAATAGCCAGAAAACTCGTCAATATTTCTAACCTTTCCATGTGAACTTTCTCATTGGATTCAAGTAACGATGGAGTATTTTGACATGAAGCTTGAGATCTACTTGGTCTTGCTTTCGATGTTTCACATCTTCTTGAAAATGAGGGATGTGATAGGCCCCTAATTAAAGATGGTAAGATCTGAAATGCTCGAGACAAGGACTTTACACAGTGTGTTGGTGACATCCAAGACAAAACAAATGACGGAAATACATCACGAGTTGATCCTTCATAATCACATAAAGACAAATATTTAATGTTTTTCAATCTCACTAATGAAAATGACACTTTTGCTATAGCAGTTTGATTTGCGTACAAAGTTTTCAGAGATTCCATCTTCATTGAATAGAATTTTTGAAAGTAATTTGAAATAATTAGAAGCCCAGGTGCTTACTTGGATTACGTTCTCATACCCAAAACACTTATGACTTGTGTTGGAATCATAGTGGAATCCTTCAAAAGTAACTTTTCAATCATAATTTATGGGATATAAGATATGTATATGAAAGAGGTTTTGTTTCGAATTGTGTGAAGAAGTGATTTTGAGAATCCTAACTTAATCCTAAACAAGCATTTATTTATGTAAGTCAAGTTTAAATTTTCCTCACATACTTTGTAATCCATAAATTATGATGAAAAAAAATGTTTTTGAAGGATTACAAACAACCACTAGATTATTTTGACTTGATCTACTTAATTTGAATGTGAGACCAGTGCACACACACTAAGAGCTGCTTATTTTGTCAGTTTTGTATCGCTAATTTTTCAACATTTTTTATTTTAATGATCTTCCATGTGTTGAGGTGGGGGTAGCTGAGTCATGACATTATGATGGATGATGTGTCATCATGTAGAAGAAAAATAAGATTCACCATAAACATATGAGAAGAAAAGTTGGAGTCATCTATTAAAAATAAAATGATAAAAAATCACTTAGGTGGTGTCTCCAACACGCATGAAAAAAGGCTATTTGCGCGGATAAAAAGAATAGATCAAGAAGTATGGAATCCCTTAAAAAAGATTAGGAAAAAATTAAAAAAAATACTTCATAAATTTGTGGAGTAAATCTTCATATTAATAATTTATCTAAAAATTTAGTTGTTAGTAGAATATGATGACACCATGTGAGAGGATGACACTTCGTAAGATAAAATTTCTCGTTGTCGGTATCTCCTACACTGCACCTCCCATTTCTCACAAAACTACGCAAGTATGTTTATTTTCTTTTATTTTAGGCACCAATTACGCAAGTATGGTTACTTATTCTTCTAATTGATTTCACATCTTTTGTTTCTCAAAATTTTCAGTGATATTTTCATTTTTTTTTCTTTTGGTGCCAACGGTATTTCATTTGATCGTTAATAATGCAAAATATACCTATGGCAACCTCTTAAGGCGCATATGGGACTAAGACCTACTGGGGGAAAAAAAAAACAAGATAAAAAAGATGGGACTAACACCTATGTAGCTTTTTTTTCCCCCCTCCGAGACCTCCTCTCTAGTATTCACCAAGTCACTCTTGACAAACTTTGACCGGATAAATATCTACATTAATACTAACCAAGATAGGAAGGTATTATGCAATGATATTTGACTAGAACTTGTTCTAGTAACTAGCAAGGGAATTTTCTGTAACCTATAACCTTTACCAAGTCCCTCTTGACAAACTGTGAGGAGCAATAATTCATTGTCCAAGTTAAGATCTTTTTCAAAAATAGGAGATAAAAGTCTTTTGACGAGACAGCCAAATTCTGAACCCAGGCACGATTCTGAATCAATTCGCTTTGATGCCCGCCATTGATTGAACAAGTAGAAGATTTCTTTTTCTTAATTTTTCTTATCCAATTAGTCCATACGCAAGCATCCTAAACATGTAAAAGCAGTTTAGCTTAAAAAAAAAAAAATTCTACTCCAAGTTTATATCTTTTTTATGTAATGAACAGAACCTTACGACTTACAAGTTCTCCACTTCATTGTATTAAATTATTTAATTATCTGTTCATTATTTTCTTGATAAATATCTATATTTGTATCGTCACATCCATTTTCTGATGTTTGCTGGGAAGAAGCATGATCAAGGGTCCTTTTCGGCTTCATATGTATAAATCAAGTGGGCTTAAAATGTTAAGAGAATAAATCGGCCCGACCTTTTAATAGGCAACGACATAAGTTGATAAGCCCACAAGAATCATTATGTCTTCTGCTGAATCCACTTTCCATTTTTCTTTCAACGGCCCATTTCCATACGTCGTGTTGCTCTGGGAAATTTTCGGAGGAGAAAGGATCTCTCGGAACTGAAGAAGATAATGATGATTGAGGAGAATACAATTTTAGTGAATTTTATATTTGGGACGAGGTAGTACTAATTGAGGATTTTGATCATTTATTGACATTTTGAAAAAAATCAATTGGCAAAAATATCTCCATTCACATTCACAAAGTCCGAAATTTTGGAAGGTGAGAAGAAAACGTAGGAAGAAAAAATAGGAAGAGAAAACATGAGAAAATTTAAAAAAAATCAGGAGAGAAAATAATAGACAGGACCTATCACTTTCTTTCTTTTTTTTTTTTGGTCAAATTGTCTTTCATCCCGTCTTGTTTTACTGACATCTTTAGATGACATTTGGTTTGATTATTTTAAGTTATTATATTTTATTTAAAAATTATCCATTTTGATTTTTCGGTAGAAAAATGTGTTCATGACAAATAAATTGAATTTAAATTTTTTGTGCACTAGATTTAAAATTATTTTATGGTATTAGTTTTAATACGATTTTTACCTTTAACTTACTTTGCCAGAGATAACATGACACATAATATATCCTATTGCAAAGATGTTATCATTGTGACATTTTTACCCTGTCAATCAAACTGCAGGCAGTTTGACCAAAAAAAAAAACTACAGGCAGTGAACATTATTTCCCTAATTTTTTTCTCTCACCATTTTCTATCCTTACATTCCCCCCCCCCCACCCCAACTTTTCTCCCCATCCAAACAAACTCACATGAACATGACTTCTAATAAAAAACAAGCAATATGAATTAAAGTCCATTATTGTGTAAGATGATAGAATAGCGCATGATTAACTGGTTCATAAAACAGATTCATTCACCCAAAATTCACATCCCCTTTGCCTTCTCTTCTGATCAATCTGCTGCCAAATTGCTACATTGGGGCCTAATGAACTAAGATAAAACCTGGCCCTGTAATATGACCCTTTACAAAATCAACTAGAAAACTACAATCAGTTTCAACTAAAGCTTTATCACAGACCAAATTATTTGGTTTAGTCCTAAAAGCAAGTGCCGCAGCATATATAGCAGAAAGCAGCTTCACGCTTTGAGATAACTAAAGCCAAATGCTGCATAAGTATTCAGTTTGAGCTCACAGGCCAAGAAAGAGGCCACTTCGCATCTACAGTACTTGTGTTAGAAGGAAACACAGAATTGAGCTATCCATGAGTCATCGTCTGGTAGCATCCGTGCACTGCTCAGGGTCACCTAGAGTCACACAAACACAAAATGAACAACTAGAAAAATGCTTTAAAAAACCACTGTTTACAACAAAGTCAACCTCAAAAGTTAGATAACCCTCTTAATTCACCATAAAATAGCTTTCAAATCACTTGAATAATCAATACGTCGTTCAAACTATCACTGGCCGCACATAAAGTCCACATGGGGTCAGTTGGTTTAGATCATTACGCCCAGAACAAGGTAGTTTCTAAATATACCAGCACATTGGAGAAGACGATCCCTAGCTGAGTATTACACCAAGTATAGTTCAACCAGTTGCATAAGAGAAAATAATTTCAAAATTTTCCATACCTGAGCCACAATTGAGAACATACAGACCTTCTAGTAGAGCACCAGTTCTCTATTGTGACAGGCATGCCAGAGGAAATGCTTCACTTTAGGCTGCCAGAGGAAATGCTTCACTTTAGGCTTCCATTGTTGAAGTGCTTGGTCCTTTAACTGGCTGGGAAACAAGTTCTTTTTTATGGTAGTGGTTTTCTTCTAAAGATAATTCACCTACAGAAGATGTACTCCAAAATTTAACAAATTCTCCTATTTGTGATCAGTAACAGGGATGAGCATATAAGAATTTTATGGTAACCCAGAAAAGAAGAGAGAGAACAACGTAGTCTTTTGTGTACTGTACACCAGTATTTAATCAAGAAACTGGCTAGAAGCAAATAAAACAGATCGAGGACCTCAATGTTCAAGAGTAGAAACAATAGTAGAACGAAACAAAGGAGGAAAATCAGCAGGTAAAGATTTTAGGATTTGAATAGGCAATTATTCGACAAGTTCAAATCAGCACCTGAATTTAATTTTAAATTTTAAGAACCAAAATTAGTAGCGGAAACTCAATGAAGAATATCTTACTAAAGCCATCTCTAACATCTTCATTCTCAAAGACCACCTTACTAAAGCTTTGACTAATAATGCAAATTTTTGAGAACTTCCTAGAGCAAAATATTTTGATCCTTAAGAAATATTATAGTTCTAGCTAGCTTTAAAATTCCTAAGGCGTCGAATGGAATTGCATCTCCAGTCTCGTGTCCCTTTTCTGCCCCAGTTGCTCAAAAAGACTACAGTCCCCTCATGCTGTTGAAGAGGTGATTCAATAAATCAACCATAAAAGTCACCAAAAAAGAAGGAAAAAGAAATTAAAAAAAAAAAAAAGAAATTTGAACAATATTTTCAATTACAAATATTCAAAAACCTCCAACATTTTGTCCGTTTGGAATCCTACCTACATTACATAGATGATGGTGTTTTATGCAACCCATTATCAAAATTTTGTGTCATTTTCTCATTTCAAATTGGCTTTTCTGATCTATAGTCTTTCACCTTGGAATACAATACCTCCTTGAAAGAATTTCGTTAGAGACAAATAGGGGCTCAAGACTGGATATGTTTAGTAGAAACCAGTGTGAAATTCTGACATGGTCATCTTCAAACATTTTCAAACAAAGAGCTTCATTTGAGGTAGCAAAATTGGTCACCAGCATATCGCCATTTTAATATCAAGTCAGCAACATGGAACTACGCAAAGTCAGCATGTAATTGCACTGTTATAATTATCATGAACTATGTAAATAGATATTCATAACACAGGATGAAAGTGATAAAGAGAGTATTATGTATGATATAAGAGATGGAAAAGGACAAGACGTGTGTTTCTTTGCTTTCTGCAACAAATGACATAAAAGATGAAAAACATAAATAAGAAAACCTTTAAACCTATCACTCTTCACTTAATTTTTTTTTGGGAGAACACTTGCGTTTTATTTAAATGAACCCTTGAGCTTGAAGCACTATCCTTCAAACAAAACTAAAAAAAGTCATACTAGATTTAAAAAATAAGTAAGAGAATCTTATATCATAACAATCCCAATTAACTAAAAGATAACAAATGTACCTTAACCTTATGATTGAATGCCATCTAGAGGGATCAGCTTGTCAGTTTCTTCAACATATAAAAGATAAACTGCAGTCTTCTTCATCACAATATGTTTGTATGCAAACTTGATTTCAATTTCCACCTCATTTCCAGGCTCCAAATTAGATACTATGTTCTGCCATTCTTCATTGGCAGAAGTAATTATTGTGACTTCTTGCTCGTAGAAATGCATGGTAGCCTTTGTGAAATTCTTTATCATGAGACCAATAGAGTTTACAGATACCATGCTACCTTGAAGAGATGAATAGATAACGCTGAGGACCATTCCCTTTAAGCTATGACCAGAAACTTCAGGAACTTCAAATGACACTGAAGATCCCTCATGTTCAAAAACTAACCAATCAGGATAATTTTCTTTAGGAGGACAATAGTGAAGCCCTCCATTCCTTCCCTATTCCAAGAACACAAGGAAAGAGTCTTCCCATTCAATCAATCTAGAAAATATGGAAAATAATATTCACAAGAATAGTTGACACTCTAAGCAAATCAAAAACCTCAATGTTTAATACATGGCAAACAGGTTTGTCACAGGGATAAATGGTAAATATAGTGTTAACTATGCCACGTACATTTACGCACACAAAAACAACATATTTACTAAAAGTATGATCTAGCATTACTATAAAAATATAATACCGATAAAAGCGCATTTTATATTGTTGTACCTTCAACTCTCGAACATTTACTCATAGATAGTTAAACATGTATGGCAGAAACGTGCCCTCCCGGTATTGAAAAGATTATGCATATGAGATAGGAGAGAATTAATTAAGATAGAGAGAAATACCTTTGAAATACTCTTTAGAAGGGCATCTGTAATTTTGTTGAACTGCCCTACTGGAATAATCAAAGAACTCATCAATGTTTCTGACCTTTCTCTGTGAACTTGATCATGAAATTCAAGTAATGCCGGAGCATTTTGGCATGAAACCTGAGATGTGCTCGGTCTTGCTTCTGATGTTTCATATCTTCTTGAAAATAAAGGATGTGATAGACCCCTAATTAAAGCTGGCATGGACCAAAATGCTTGCGACAATGACTTTGAATAATGTGTTGATGGTGACATCCAAGACAAAGAAAGAGATGGAAATACATCACGTGATAATCCTTCATAGCCACACAGAGACACATATTTAATACTTTTCAGTCTCAACAATGAGAAAGGAACTTGAGCCATAGAAGTTTGATTTGCCATCAAAGTTGTTAAAGATTCCATTTGTTCAATGTCTTCTTCTAGCTTTTCAAACTTTGAACAACCAGAGAGATTGAGGGTCTTCAAGGATTTCAATTGATATACACTTCTCGGGAGGTGGCTGAGGCTTTTACAGTCCTTTAAATTTAACAGAACAATATATTGAAGATCACCAATGGAATGGTGAATTATAGACAAACGAGGACAATCTTTGAGTATTAACTTTTCAAGATATGGTATCTTTGAAAAGTCAGGTGTCTCTATTAAGCAATGAGAATGACTAAGGTTGAGAATTTTCAACCCCTCCAGCAACTGTGAAAAGCAGATAGTTTAAAATAAAAATAATAATAAAAGGGAAATAACAGATGGAAACAAATAGAAATACTGTCATTAGTGTTTCATTCCAAGAACTCAATGTAAGTACCTGGCTCTTCTCCCAAACTTTCACAAGATTACTCCACTTTAAGTCAATGGCAACTATCTTCTCTAGATTGAAGTTCATTGGCAAGCTTTCTAAGGGAAACCCATGCCAACAAAGCCATCTCAAATTTGTTGATAGATAACTATAATCTCCAATAAGTTGTACATTATCAAGTTGAAGCAAACGAAGCCTCCTCATATTCTTAAATGTTTTGGCACTCAAGTACAATGAATTGTTCATTGACAAGTTTAAAGCCAGTCCTTTGATGGACATTGTTCCCTGCCAAATAAAAACAAACAAAAAACAAAATCTTTTGGTGATTAAATCATTAAGATAAAGGTTTACAATTGGCAAGAAAAAGATAAGAGCATATTGAATAATAAGAAACATAAGGAAATAATTCAATTAAGTCATTCAGAAATATTCTTACAGTTTTATCTCTTAACACATCCAACACATTGTCATGAAACCATAATCTAGTACGTTTCTCAGGCTCCTCTAATGACTGCTGACGAATAATTTCTCTTCCCATGTCACGCAATAAGTCATGCATTTCAAGCTTATTTTTGTTGCCAACTCTTACAAGGCTTCGTTCAATCAAGCGACTAATTCCAATATCTGCATGAAGTCCACAACCATTCAATATTTGTGTCACATCGCTCTTGTTCTTCCCAATAAAGAAACAACATATATCAAGAAATATTTCTTTCTCTATATCATCGCTCAAACCATCATAGCTTATTTTAAGCTTCTCATGGATTTGATCATTTGGAATTTGTTGTAATCTCTCCAAAACACTTCTCCAAATCAATATTTCTCTATCATATAAATAGGAGCCAAGGATTTCAAGAGCTAGGGGCAACCCTCCAGAGTAAGAAACTATCCTTCTTGAAAGTTCAATGAAATCTTGTTCAGGTATTGCTTGCTTAAATGCATGCCAACTAAAAAGTTCAAGAGATTCGTTGTCATCCAATTCTTTCACACTATATACATGAATCACTCTTAAGACGTTAAGTAAATGTTGATCTCTAGTAGTGATAATGATTCTACTACCTTGACCAAACCACTCAAGACTTCCGCACAGAGCTTTTAGTTGGTCTTCATTGTTCATATCATCAAGTACAACAATCACTTTTTTCTTACAAAGGATTTCCTTTACTAGAGTTTTTCCCATTTCTACATCAGGTAGTGTCATCCTTCTTGATTTTAAGATACTTGAAAGAAGTTGTTCTTGCAAGTAAACCGGACCATTATCTTGCTTCCAAACTTCCCTAACATTTGCAAGGAAGCACTTTCCGTCAAAACTTTGACCAACTTCATTATAGATGGCTTTAGCAATTGTTGTCTTGCCAACACCCCCCATTCCCCAAATCCCTGAAATGATAACCTCATTTGATTTACTACTTAGCAATTGGATGATATCTTGCACGCGAGACTTCAATCCCACTGGATGGTGAGCAACAAACAGGCATTTGTTGTCACCTATCTTCATTCTAACAGTTTCAGTAACATGGCCAATTAATTCGACTTCAGTTCTGGCAACAATAAGAAGTTAGATAACACTGAAGCCAAAATAAGACAGTGTTGATATGGTCTATATAATTTTAATTAGAAAATATTACAAGTCTGACATGAACCAAACTTCGTCAAAGAATTTGATTTTACCTTTACAAATTAAAGAAAATTTGGTTGCATAGAATATATTTAACAAAAAAAAAAAAGCATTTGATTATAAAAGGATAAGCCTGTGTATTGGCAGGCCCTGTGGTTGGCCACTTATCTATGTCAATTAACATACAACAACCTACGTTAAGTAAATATTGTATTACAGGATTATTCCAATTTTTCTTTCATATACTGTTGTTGACGAATTACTCAAGTATAAATGCTGATGATAATTCCACCTGATTTATGATTATTAAATCAAAATCGTTATAGAGGCATTTGTTTTCAACAAATTACCGATTTGAACAAAAAACAAAGTTATACAAAAGCTTGTGACGTAGTGGTAGCTAATTTTCCCTGGGATATTTTATGCGATGCTCTTGTGATTTTTAATTATTTGGAGATAGATAAGTAAAAGCAGTTTCATCATTGTGGTTTATAATTCCCATGTTGAAACCATATAGTTCCCCTCCCCCTTTCTATACACACGCATAATACGAGACTATTTTAGATGAAACTCATATCACCAAAAGGAACTCAAACTTGCTATGAAAAAGTAAAAAAGGAACTTAAGGAATTCGACCATTATAAATAGCAATGAGTAAAAAGATTAAAAATACCTGTAGTTATGCATGTCCCACCCAGATAAATTGGCAGCTTCTGTAAGGGCTCTTTTTACATTGGTTGTCAATTTCTTCATTTTGCCACTTGAAGTTCTCTTAATAAGTCTTTCCCATGCTTTTCCAAAAGCGTTTTGTTGTTTACGAACTTCAAAAGGTCGCACATCAAAAAATATAGGTAAAACCTCTTGATGAGTTGTTTTGTAACACTCCATGACTTTCTCTAATTCTTGTAAGCACCAACTAGAGCCAGCATAATTCTTTGAGAATATAATAATTGAAATTCTTGAACTTTCAATTGCTTCCAATAATGAAGATGAAATATTTTCTCCCTTTTCAATTCTTTCCTCATCCATGTAGACCTCAATACCTGCTTGCTTTAAAGCACTGCAAAGATGAGAAGTGAAAGATTTGCGTGTGTCGTCACCTCTAAAACTTAAGAATACGTCATAGTTATATATGAACTTCGGCTTACTATGACTGATTTCCTTTCCCATCTCTTGTAGCAAATCATGAACATAAAGCTTGTCATTCATGACCTTTACAAGATTACGCTCAATGATTACTGACATTCCCGTTTCGGCAGGAAGTCTTGAGCTTTTTAACAATTGTGTAACATGGTGTTTACTCTGACCCACATAAAAAGAAGCTATATTAAAAAATATATCTTTCTCTATATCAGTTAATAACTCACAACTAATTTTGAGCTTCTTTTGCATTGGACCACAAGAAATTCCTCCCATGTTATTCATCATTTTTTCCCACTCGTTTTTCGTCCTATTATGCAAAAGAGAGCCAAAGACTTCGAGAGCCAAGGGTAGTCCTTCACAGTATCCAATGACTTGCTCTGAAAAATCCTCAAAATCATTTGTTGGAGTAAATTTCTTAAATGCATGCAAGCAAAAAAGTTTAAGAGACTCCTTTCTGTTTAACCTTTTCATTTCATATGATATGTCAGCAAAGGCATCTAAGATAGCCTTATTTCTTGCTGTAATGAATATCAAGCTCCCTTTACCACACCACTTCACATTTCCGCACAATTCCTTGAGTTGAAATTCACAATTGACATCATCAAGTACCACTAAGACTCTTCTTCCACTGAGTTCTTGCATCATTAGTTCATGCATCACAACATCATCTGTCTTATCAAGTTTAGTTTCAGAAATATCTGAAATAAGTTGATTTTTTAGGAGAATTTCACCGTTACCTTCCTTCCACACATCCTTAATATTTGAAAGGAAACTTTTACCATCAAAATTGCCACCGATTCTATCATAAATAGCTTTGGCAATCGTTGTTTTACCAATACCTCCATCTCCCCAGATTCCAACTATGATTGTATCATCCGACAAAATGTATTTCAACCCCAAAATATTAAGCAATTCTCTCACACGAAGTGGTAACCCTACTTGATAGCATGGAAGGTCATGAAATGACTCATCGTGCAACATGGAAAAACCCAAGTTTGACATGCAGCTACTGAATTCATTCCTGTCACAATTGGCAGGGTAACATTAGATTAAAAGCACATAGAGGTATGTGTTATGAAACTATGCGTGTGTGTAAAAGAAATGTTGGCCTTCTATATTTGAATTATTTTTTTGAGAAGGTTTCTCCCTCTAGTGAGAGCTGCGACTTGATCATCTCCCTAGTGAGATCTAATCATGTGTGAGGGTTAAGTGCATGAAGATATGAAGAATCATATAGAAGACCCTATGGGCTTTAATGAGTGACCAAAAGTGTTCTGCATTTAAGCTTTCTTGGTAACACAATCCAAGTTAGGGTTTGTGTCAAAGCTTTATTGAAAATACTTACAGTGCTCTGTGTAATGGGTTAGCTTGCTTAAACCCCCTGGACAAGAGAGCTTGTTGTTGCTGCTATTGTCAGGCTTTGATTGCCTATGAGATTTGAGTTAGCTAGTTGTAAGTGAGCTATGAAATTCCTATATTTTGATGTTAGCTAGAGATCTAACATTGTGCTGCAGGTTAGAACGAGAAACTTTTAGTTGTAAGGGGACTGGACAGAGAAGCGGTGGATCAAATCACGATAAATTTTTTGTCACTCTTCACTCCTTACTCTATCTATTGCTTCTTGATTTAGCAAACTGATCAAGAAATCAACTTCGCTATTTGGTAATATTTATAGAACACTATAACTAATTGACCTACACATTTAAGAAGGATATCATGACTGATAAAATCATAGATAGAGCAATGACAATATTGATAGTTAACAAGGATTAGCATTGGCAGGAATGTCTAGATACAGAGGTAGAGTAGAATGCTTTCATCTTCAAGTTTGAAAGCTATGGGGAGCACAAATAGAACACTAAAAGGAAGACCGTGGGGGTAGATTAATTTTAGGTAGCTTGCTTAACGTCCAAGAACGGGAAAAATACAAAGTATATTACTGAGAGAGAGTGCTTCCAAGCTACTTGATACTCTTTCGGTCCTTAATATAGAACCCAATTATTGAGTTGGTTTTGATCCTAAATATAAGACCCATTTCTCATGTTTATCCATTTTCTTTAAATTATCCCTGTAGATACGTCATCAACTATAATCAAGTAAAAGAGGAAGATATGGTATTAAAAAAGATGATAATGGTATTTTAGAAAAAATGTGTCACATTTTTTATAATTAACTAATTTATCTAATTTCCTTAATCTAGTTAAATTAGTTAAATGAGTTTTATATTAAACCAGAGAAGTATTTAATATCTCTTATAATAATATTTCTAAATACAAGAAACAAATCTTTTTGTTTAAAATTTTAAACTGTTTTTTTCATTTTTACCCTATTAAATATATGTCAACTATTATTTCTTTACAATAAATTTTTACTCATTATTTATCAATCTTTTTATATATGGAGGTATAATTGAAAAAATATATATATACCTTATATATTTATTATTTTTGATTAAATTTAAACTATGAAAAATTAATTTGAAGAAATTTATAGTTTTCTTTGATTTTGAGCCAAGTTGCTCAATTTTTTTCTATTTTTATTGGGTCCTTTAACTTTTCATCGTTACATCCATTAATCTTTCCTGTTAAATACTCCTCCGGTCCTTATTATAAGACCCAATTTGACTTTTTATTTGGTCCTAATTATAAGACCCCAATCCATTTTATCTCTTATATTTATGCATTTTTTTCCAAGATAATCCTTTTAATAATGATAATTTTAGTCAATATACTTAATTAGCAAGGATATTTTAGGAATGACAACACTTATTTATTATAAATAACCAACTTAACTTACTTCCTTAATCTCCTCAAATAAGTCAATTGGGTCTTATAATTAGGACCGGAGGAGTATAAACTAACAGTGCTAAAAATTTCCGTTGACCACTCTAAAGCTCTCCTCTCTCTTTAACCATTGCTGACCATCAACTCCACTCCATCCCCAACATTCTCCCGACATGTAAGTGGCTCACGATTCCCTCCCATCTCTCCATACCACCTTCCCTTTCCCTAATCACAAAGCCAAACTCGTGCTTCTGCAAACTCAAGTTTTCATCTTCAATGTGAGACAAGTACTTTTTTTAATAGACTACTCTGTTTGGCTCTGTTTCCAACACAAAAAACAGAGCCTCCATTAAGAACGGGCGGTGAGTGCTCTGGCTCAGAACTTCAATGACAACCCAGCAGTTCTCACTTAAAGGGTGATGAGTGCATAACTGCAAGGCAGTGTGCTCTAACTACTGCTATGAGTTCGATAAGAAACAATTCTCACTCTGAACCTCGCTGCTATAAGGATTTTTAAATTAGCTTTCTCTTTAAACTACGTAATTTTAATAATTAGTATTTCTTATAAAAAAAATTGATGAAAGGGAAAAAATGGAGGAGCAAAAGGGGATAATTTATTACCCGGAATCAACGGAGAGTTTGAAGCCAGGTCGGGAAGCAACTCCCGTGAGGTCAAATCTGGGAGCCAAAGCCACCATCTCGTCATGCACTTGCCGCCGGCTTACTCCACAGAATACAGGCATCGCGTTGTCATTCCACCACATAGTCCTGGCCACCAGTCTCTTGAGACACTTCTTCGACGTGAGGAACTCCGGCGTGAACAAAACCATGACAATCATTGACCCTGATACGGCCTCCTGTACGGAAAACACTTCTTCTTCTTCGTCGTCGACGAAAGCTCTGATTCCAGCATCTCTCAATTTGTTCACGACATAGCCTTTTACACAACCCTTGGGATCTCTCAGAGTTATGAACACGTCGTATTTGAATTTGGAGGACGCAGAAGCCAAACACGACGCCATGGCTAATTAATTCACCAGCAAATTACCGATCCCACAACGCAGTTCCATTTTAATTATGGCAATTAAAGCGGAGTCAAATCAACGTCATCGATTGCTACGAAAGGAGTTTCCCCGTTTCGCGTTCTGAATGGGGCCCCACGCGTGGTGACCAAAAATAAGGATATTTAGAAAACGTGGATCACAACTTTTATAATGCATGACTGACTTAATTAATTTAAAAAAATTAATTAATCAGATCTTGTATGTAGAACTCGATATGAGAAGTTCAGATATTGTGTAGAGTGAAGATGACGTTAAAAACAACTCATTTCCATTCCCTCACAGGATCAAACTACTCAAAAACAATATAAAAAAGATTCAATTCAGGATAAAAAAAGGAGTTCGATTGGATAAGGTAAAATCTTCGTGTCGGTGGCTTTTTTTCTTTGGGCAAAGGCTTTTTTTTATTTGAAATAAAGGCAAAATGATATTAAGTAAAAAATAAAAGTTCAAAGTACAATAATAGAAGAACAACATAAACTAGAATTGAGAATGTTTTTTTAACATTTAGGATCTTTATATTGTATTAAAAAAACATTTAGGATCTTTATATCGTCATGTTTTGTTAATAGTTTTAAGGTTAAAAGGCTAAAAATATATTTTTTAAAGTTAAAGAATTAAATTGGAACATTATGTAAAATTAAATGACTAAAATTATACTTTACTATTATGCAAAATAAAATAAAAAATTAATGTTAAGTTCAAAGAAAGATCTCTCAGCCTATACTAACCGTTGTGTTTTCCATACTGCTGATAAAAATATATTGTTATTTACAAATCTCAAATAAAAAATTCTTATAAAAATATGTTGTTATTTATAAATTAAGTATTGTCAAAACCTATTACAATGTGAAAATAAGAAAACCTATTACAATGTGAAAACCAAATCTGATTTGTCATTTGGTAATTTCAATTTTTTATTTTTCTAATTTAATTTGCTTTTATATGTGCTTTGAATCTGAGTCAGATGAGCACTTCCTTTTTCTTTTCTTTTTTAAGTCCCCATAACGCGTCCCGTTTATAATTGCACAAAGATGTTGGCTTTTTTGACCACCAAAAGGAAAAAGAGAGTTTGATAAATTTGTCTAACAACTCTTTCAGATTTATTAAAGAGATCATCAGCGTTAATCACGGGCAATTAAGAAGATAATTTAATCACAATCTTCAGAATAATATTTTTTTAATGAACATGATGGTTTGTTGGATGTCTGCATCGCATGACAAGGATAGTAGGCATAAAGAGGAGACAAGCAATTAGTATTACTTTAGTTCAAGAAATCATTAAAGTATTGTTACTATTATTTATTGGAAATGTGTGTTTGTTTGTGTGTGAACTTGGTTAGTGCATAATCCTTAATTTTCTATGATTGATTTTTTCACACGAGTAAACAAGCGGTCAAGCTAGCAATCTTGGAAACGTGGGCAAAATCATTCTTTCTTTTTTTTTAAATAACAATCACTTTGAGTTTAAGATTAAGCTCTATCGGTCAAGAGTGTTAAGGTTAAAACTCTCACAATAAATTCGTTTCTCGAGATTTAAACTTGTATTTTTTTCCTTATAAGAGTAAAATTACCTACCATAAATTTTGTTGTCACGTTTGGTACGATAGAATTAAAGGGGTTGCGGAAATAAAAATGGAATTAATTTCCATCCCAATATTTATTTGTTACGATGGAATTGAAAAATATTTCAATTCCAACCCCATCAAAATGGATGGAAATGATTTCCATCTTACCCCCAAAGAAATCAATTCCATGCCATCCTGACCCATTTTTGCCCTTCCATTCTTTTCTTCCAGCCAGTTCACACCCCACCACTATCGCCGCTATGCGGAGCCTTACTGAGAGTGAGCACTCACCTGGTGGCGGTGTCAAGAACAAGACCAACGGCAAAGAGGGAGGCGGCGGCGGCTACCAACCTCCATCTTCAACTACCCAAGAATGACCTTTATCTTTTCCATTTCTTTCCTGCTGAGCTCGGTCGTTCCTTGCCTCTTCAGACTTCTTGCTCTCGCACTGTCATCACATAGTTGGTAACATCCTCAACTCCTCTGTGCTTCCTTCCTTCAAGCTTCGACAGTTCGACACTTCGGCGTGATTCACTGATAGTGTGACAATCGAGCTTTAAACCCACCTTCAGAACCATTTCAGATCCACGACATCCTAGTCTCTTTGATCTGCTTCATTTCGGAATAATCTTTGTGGATCCTTCGTGGATTTTATGAAGGTCTTCGATCAAACTGTTTGAGAAACTAATGTGCTAACCCAGATGATGCGCAGAATGCGTTAGCTTCACATTTCTAAAGCTGAAAAATAAACACAACTCAGTTATAATAGTTCACTTAACAATTAAAAAGAGCAATCCAAATAAATGAGTGGATACGTAGCAACAATAAATGTGTGTCATAAGTTTAAAAAAAAAAAATTCCACTTCGAACAATTCACCAAATGATAACAACTCAAACTCCCACGATAACATTTCGAAAAACCTTCCTATAAACAACATTGGTGGTTGTTTGCGCATTTTTGTTTTGACTGTCATGCAACGGAATCTTTAGAATGTCAATTGAAAGAGCAGTATATGGTTGACCATGTGTGAACACAGGCTTTGGTAGGTATAAACCTACAAAGCGTAATAATTAGTCCTAACTTTTATTTATAGCCACTGTAAATGATAATGCAATTGGGAACTACCTCCTATATTTATTCATTCGAAATGGCAAAAGACTATAAGAAGAATTCATGTCCATATGATGAATTAGAACCTTCTCATTGGCTTTGAACCATTCAATGTTAAATGAGTTATCATTAATCTTGTCCCATTGCATAGTCCAGAGGTTTGATCAATATTCCTCGACGACATGACAAGTGCTCCAACTTTCAATGTCAACTTATGTCTGGGTAACCCAGAGCTGGAAATGGTACTCAAGAACTCTGTTATATGAAGGTTTGCAAAACCATCACTATCCTGCGATGATTTACAAACAAAGTCACAGTTAAAATATTCAACATAACACTAGGAATTATAGAACACATAAATTCGTTCATGTGACTAACAACTTCAATTGTTAGAGATAGAATAGCTCTGTCATTAAAATAATCACTATTAGTCAAATTCTCCAACAAATTGGGATATATAGTTGCAGCCACGGGATTTGTGTAATTTTGCAACAATAATTCACGAAGCATTTCTATCTCTATTGTGTCATCATGGGGCATGCCTAACTTACCATCACCAACATCCAAAAACCATTGTTCAAAATGTTATAACTAACTACAATCTTCATTTAATTTGTTGATTTAACGGCAATCGCATATTCTGTGTCAATTGAAATATGATGCAATAATCTCATAAATATGAAGAGTTAATACATGCATTAACAACATTGGCTCGTGAGCCTTTAGGAATAACTAGAAGGATTTGACAAAAGTCAATAGCCATCAAAACATGCTTGCCTCTAAAAGGATAATTATAGCGCATAAGATCATCCCTCACTGACCTATCAAATGTCTCAATACAATAACATTGAACCGTTGCTTGATGCCTAGTCTAAAAGATGAGCAAGCTGCATTTTGTAACTTGTTATCTAGCCCTGCACATAGAAGTCCTAAACATTTTGGATTGGGCAAAAGCGGGCTGAATGAGATGGGCTTCCTTCCCCAAGTAGTAACACTTTGATATATCATATGAAGAAAACAGTTTCTAATAATACCTGAAAAATATATTCCATGCTTATAATATACTACCTCCAATCCTTAATATAAAAGTTAATTGACTAATTTGGATAAATTAAAAATACTAGTTAAGTTAGTTATTTATAATAAATAGGTGTTGTTTTTTCTAAAATATCCTTATTAATGAAATATATTGGCTAGAACTACCATTATTACAAATACTTTCTTGAAAAAAAATGAATATGAGAGACAAAATAGACTAAAATATTATATTTAGGACCAAAATAAAAATCAAACAAGCTCTTATATTAAGAATTGAAGGTAGTAATATTTTTTTGCTATATATTTATTGCTGACATTGTCTTGCTTCAAAGAAACAAAAAAAATCAACAATATGTATCGTTCTTTTTTTTGGCCAGCAACAATATCCATCATTTACCCAGCCACTAAAATCCCAATTTTCTAATTCGATTGATACGTTAGTACTCCTCCGGTCCTTAATATAGGACCCAATTCTTGAGTTGGTTTTGGTCCTAAATATAAGACCCATTTCTCATATTTATCAATTTTCTCTAAATTACTCCTATGGATACTTCCTCAATTATAATCAAGTAGAAGAGGGAGAGGTGGTATTAAGAAAAATGATTATGGTATTTTAGGAAAAATGTATCACTTTCCTTATAATTAACTAACTTACCTAACTTCCTTAATCTAATCAAATTAGTTAAATGGGTCTTATATTAAAGACCGGAGGAGTATATTAATTTCCGCTGCAGACTATCTTATGAGTAATTCACCGTTTTAGTCAGAACTTAAAAACCGTTATTAAGACAATTTCAAGGCGTGCAGGGAACATAATTGTGTTTTTGGTCCAAAACAATGGTTAAATACAATATCATAATATATTATACATTATAATACATATTTTTTGGGCTAAGCCGAATAGGTAAGGGGCGGCATATCTTGCCCATGGCCTTGTCATGCCTATGTTTAGCCCAACTCAAAAATATCCATTTTTTCAAGTCGATTTTTTTTCTTTGGATTGGGTTGAACATTTTTTTCTCAGCCTACTTGCCCAGCCGGGTAGCTACTTTTCACCAAGCCTTCTTCACAGGATCATTAATTTCTGAAGAAAATTCTGAAGGGGTGAGATCTAGAAGCAGCAAAAGCCTCTTATATGTCTTTCTTCTTCCGATCACCTTGGTAAATAAGATTAATCTCTCATCCTTCCCACCTCGACACACAGGTAATTAACTTCCTCTCAAATCTCTTGCTTTCATCTTTATGTTGGA